TTAAAATAAGACCAGAGCATACCAAGCTTGTCTAACTAGCTAGCTGATTGGTAGGTACAATGACAGTTTTCTGTGGTCAGAATGGGACTAGATCATACCAAACTATCGTGTCAAACTAGCTAGTAGATTGTTTGGTACAATGACAGTTTTCTGTGGTCAGAATGGGACTAGATCATACCAAACTATCGTGTCAAACTAGCTAGTAGATTGTTTGGTACAATGACAGTTTTTTATGGTCAGAATGGGACTAGATCATGCCAAACTATCGTGTCAAACCAGCTAGTAGAATGTTTGGTACAATGATAGTTTTTTATGGTCAGAATGGGACTAGATCATACCAAACTATCGTGTCAAACTAGCTAGTAGATTGTTTGGTACAATGACAGTTTTCTGTGGTCAGAATGGGACTAGATCATACCAAACTATCGTGTCAAACTAGCTAGTAGATTGTTTGGTACAATGACAGTTTTTTATGGTCAGAATGGGACTAGATCATACCAAACTATCGTGTCAAACCAGCTAGTAGAATGTTTGGTACAATGATAGTTTTTTATGGTCAGAATGGGACTAGATCATACCAAACTATCGTGTCAAACTAGCTAGTAGATTGTTTGGTACAATGACAGTTTTCTGTGGTCAGAATGGGACTAGATTATACCAAACTATCGTGTCAAACTAGCTAGTAGATTGTTTGGTACAATGACAGTTTTCTGTGGTCAGAATGGGACTAGATCATACCAAACTATCGTGTCAAACTAGCTAGTAGATTGTTTGGTACAATGACAGTTTTTTATGGTCAGAATGGGACTAGATCATACCAAACTATCGTGTCAAACCAGCTAGTAGAATGTTTGGTACAATGATAGTTTTTTATGGTCAGGATGGGACTAGATCATACCAAACTATCGTGTCAAACTAGCTAGTAGATTGTTTGGTACAATGACAGTTTTCTGTGGTCAGAATGGGACTAGATCATACCAAACTATCGTGACCAACTAGCTAGAAGATTGACAGTTTTCTGTGGTCAATATGGGACTAGATCATATCCCCCCCCGGGACTGTGAAAGGTTTTATTTTGAAGTGAATATTTAAGCCCTACAAATGCTGGGAGCCTCTAGTTTCTTCTAGCCCCCTCTCGGCCTCAAGGTGCCTCGCCTTGGAGAGTTACCTCCCATTTTTGCACCCCACCCCTTAGACTTTTTGTAGATACGCCCCTGTAAGAGCATATTATTAAACTATCCTGTTGAACCAGCCAACTCGTTCTGTTCACTGCTCACCGTTCACTGTTCATTGTTCACTTTGTATTCTTTCATTTCACTATATACATTGGTGAGTTTTAGTTCGACTAATCAGCTTAAGTGATCTCACCATACTGAACTCTATGGTGGTATATTGATTTGAAATTTAAAAGTAGTGTGGGGGG